TAAATAAAGCACTGAATCACCGTAAACTTCAAACACGCCTGTTTTGTTGAATTTTTTGTTTTAAACATGTTGTTTTTAAGTTTTGCTGACAAATGTATAACGACAAGTATTATGAAAAAATAATCGCAATATACTTTTTACAATTTTTTGTTTTCACCTAAAATATCAGCATGCTAAAAAATCTTAAGAAACATATGAACAATCTTTTAACAAAGAGTTCCTGAGGAGTCCATTATTCTAAGCACAGGATATTTGGCACCAATCTTTATCTTTTGGTGGATATCTGGCGATATTCCCTTTGAGACTGCCAAATGCCAAAAAAAATGTTAAGTACCGCCCTTCGTTTGCATATCCAATGTATTGTTTTAATTTTAGTTTTTGTGTTGCATTTTTGCTGTTCGGGTTTTTGTTGTTTTTTGGGCGGCTTCTTCATTGTTTATTTGTACAATTTTTTTTGCACGCTTCAGCTGCAACTGCGGCGGTCACTGAGGAAAACGCTAAATGAATTGCCCCAAATACGAGTGTTGTACGCGATGATCACGAAGGTGATGATGACGATAATGATGAACGTTATGCTAATGCTGATCGCTCGCCTGGAAACGACGTCGGCAGAGCAGCAGCCCAAGCAGAGCAGAGAAGAATGCACGGGAAGAAAATTTGGGATCATCTTATAATGGGATCTTAAGTTGTCCAAAATGCTAAAACAATTTTCTTCTATTTTTTGCGTTTTTGGAAATTATCTAAAAGTTAATCTATGAAAAACTTGATTTTAAGTTATCAGAAGATCATTTGACTTTAATTTCTGGTTAAGAATAATGTTAATTTATAAATAAATATAAGATTGAACAACATATTATCAATATCATAAATAAATAACCAAAAGATAAAGTGGTATATTATGTTTTCAGTGTAGCTGTGTAGTTGCCCGAAGTGGATCAGTTGCCAGACAGAGATAGAGCTATGAAGAGGAAGGGAGAAGAGGGAGATGGCGGGAAGAAAGAGCCACAGTCACGGTCACGTTTCTTGTCACGTTCTCCCGCTGTTTTTCGTTTCTTCTCCCGTTTCTTCTCTTCGGCTGTTCGAACCCCTGTAATTCCACCGATGTGGGTATACGACTTTTCTTATCCGCAAGCTAATTGATTTCCCATTTGAGGTTGCCCAGTCAAAGGTGCTGTAAATAACTCAGAGTTTAGAGTTTCTTTCTAGGTGCTTAATTTATGTTACCTTTTCGGGCATCCCCTGCTGTAAATAGTGTTAAATATAATGAAAAGATGACTAATTAAGTGAAATAGGTTTTTACTATAATATAACTGCCCACCTATAAAAAGTTATTTATTATATAACACTGGTATTTAAACTGAGCTTAAAGTTAGGAACTTTTTAAAACTTGAGCAATAGAAACCTAAACAAGTGCTAAGCAATTAAAATAATAATACTTGTAAATGCATTTTGAAATCTAAAAATTAGATAGTTTAAAAACTTGATCTGTTTTGAACGTTAATTGCAATATTTCGATTTTTTTTGATGGGGAACTTTGAAAATGATATCTTATTTTATTACTATTATTATTATGTAAATTAAATAATTATATGTATATTTATTACATATTTTTTTCCTTTGTACTGGGCACTTTTAAGTCTAAACCAGCTCCACCACCTTGTTCTTATTTGTTCGCTTTTCGTTTCTCATGTTGTGTGTTTCTTGCTCTTGCCAATTTGCTTTCTGCCTTGTTGCTTGTTGTGATCTTGTTGTTGGTCGATCTTGTCGTGGCAGCAACAGCAGCAACAAATTGCCAAGTCTTTGGTTTATTTGCTCGTTGCCTGCTTTTTGCTGTTTTTCGGTGGGCTGCCTCTGTTCACGCGACCCATTGGGCGTTTGACCCCGGCGAATGTGGCATGCAAATGGGTTCAGACTTGGACAAGAGTCGAATGCCGCATGCCGCATGCCTCTTTTACTGGCAATTCCATTCGCATTCGCAGTTGCATTTGCATTTCCCCCTTGCGGTAAATTTGCTGGAAAAACGCGCGCCAAAAGTGACAGCCGGTCGAGGAGCAGCTGTCAACTTGACTTTAGGCAGCTGCCGCCAAAAGTTGCTGTTGCTGCAGCAATATCGCCGCGATGTTGCCGCAATGTTGCTGCTGTCATTGCACTTGGACGCCACAGGCAACAAGTAGCGAGTAGCAAAACGGAAGTAGCGTACAACTTTTTTCTCTGCTGCATTTTGGACATGCATTCAAACATACCCTTTCTTTTTATGACAAAAAAATGTGGGTAGAACCCCTGAGCAGGAAGCGTTTCCCATGGGCTTTTTTAATTAAACTGTAAACTCTTGATATCGCATTACTGTTTGGGTAAAACATGCATAAAAAACATCCACACTTAAGGGCTTCATTGAGAGTATTTAAAATATTAAATTACCATTCCTGAGTGAGAACAAATTATTTGTGAACAAAATATGGGTGGACAAAATGTTTTCTTAAATTTGATTTAAAATATGTGACTAAAGCTTTATATTTAAGTTGTAAAATCTAAACTTTAGATATAATATAAATATAAATAATATAATATAAATATTTATTATTTTAAATAAAAATGTAATAAAAAATAATTTTTAAGAGGGAAATATTATTTAAGAAATCTAAACTATTGAAATTCAATTTTTAAAATTTTAAACCAGAAAATGTTAGTTATATTTTCCTTAAAATTTAATAATATTCAGTTAGGCTATTTCCCGCTTCGATTTCGGTTGACACTTTTTCCGTTTGGTTTTCTCCCAGCTTATGTTCGCTGTGAAGTAAGTGAAAACGACGTCGTTAAACGCACATTTTGATGCGATTCGTCGACTTTTTGGGTGCCCAGCCCAAACAATTGAGTGAAAATCTGCATCGAATCGATGAGCTATGGGCGGCGATTTTTCAGAGACAATATTTTTATATATCGACTCAGACTAAACAAAACGAGACAATGAAGTGGAGAAAAAAACACACATTCGCTCATTGCGAGCACTTGGCGACTCTGAAAGGCTGAAAGACTGGCACTTTCTAATGCGACAACGATGCGGAAGCAACAGCAACACACCTGCAACAGCAATGACAGCAACAACATAGTGAGCACCCACATGGCGATGTCACAGACCCCACAGACCTTTAATGCCTCCAAAAGCCAACTCGGTGACCCGAAAAAGCTGGCCCATCTGGCCCCGAACAACCCTTGCTTGGGCCCTCATTTCTCCCCTGAAAATAAAGAAATATATCTACATAAATGGGCGGTGGAGATGGGGAGACCCTGCAAGTGAAGTGCTTGAATTACGACTGCAGGGGAAGTATTTAGCCATCAAATGGATGCTGATTGCTGTGGGAAAAGATAGGGATTAGGGTTGAGAAAAGGAAAGCTCCTAGTCTCCTTATGTGATATTCTTTTTTTTCTTTTTTTGAAGTTTATTAAATCATTTTAAAGTTTATAAAAAATAGTACTTCTTATCAATTTTAAATTCGAAATTGCGTACTTATTTCTTTTAAATAATATTGCAATCTAATTTTTTTTTAATTTTAAACAATTCAACAAAGATAAAATCTATTATAGATTAATAGATTCTAATCAACCATACATATAAGATATGGAATTATAACGTGGGTGTGTCCTGAATCATGCCTTATGATCATAATAAAAAACTCTTTCTTTTTTAAGCTTTATAACCTACAGTACTTAAAGAAAATCAACTGTTTTAAAATGAAATAAAAAAGGAATATGAAATAATAATATTTTCTAAATTGAAAACTTTATCGGGCACATTTAATGGAAATAGCTTATCACTATTCATTTGAGCGCAGCTGTGTGTGTTTATTGTGACAGTAAAGCTTGTTAATTAGCCGACAAATTCCTCTGTGCGGAATATACGCAGAATATTATAAAACTGCGCTGAAAGTGAGTCGGCCAAACACTTTTACTCTCGTTGCGTTGTTATATTTTGTTTTGTTTTAGTTTTGGCACTTTGAAAACCAATTCAAAAACCGCGATACAGACAATAACAAAACAGTCAACGAACCGGAGAGGAAGCAGCAAGCACCCAACCACTCAGCCACCCAACTTTGTTGTCGATGTCACGCACAATAATCGGCTTGGGTTACGCTTCGGTCCACCCTGAACCACTCTGCAGTGCTTTGGGCCACTCCAAAACCACTCGACACTCCAATCGACGTGTGTGGTTTTTGGCGGACCATTTGGGCAGCACGATCGAGGCTGAAGTCGAAGCCAATCATCCGATTATGTAAACAGCGGATTTGTCTCCTCCGATTTCGCTCAAAGATGCAGCTCACGGATGCGGGTGTATCTGTACCTTTGCATCTGCATCTTTGCGGCCTGCAACTCAGTCGATTTGCGGCGGATCGAAAGTGAGTGGCACTCGGTTTTGCGGCATATTCGATTACAGGCAGCTTAGAAGTTCGAACTTCGAAGCGTAAGCGGAGCTGCTCGAGCACTTCCTCCGTTTCGAGTTACCAATTGCACTCCGAATAAAATTAGCCCAAGTTCGTTTTTTTCACGGTGGTCCGATGGTTTTTAAAAACACTAGTTAAACCTAGAAATAAAAATATAAAAATACCTATATTTTAAAAACATAATATTATTTTTATAAACTTTATAAGTTATTTTTCATTTAAAAAATATAATCTTATTGCATCGCATTGCCTCAAGTTAAGATTTAGCTTAGATTTTTAAAGCGATTTAACGAGTTTAACGGGTATGTCATTCCATATTTGGATCATTATTAATGTATTTAGTTTAATTTATTGTTACGGTCAAAATTCAGATATTTTAAGGGTGGGAAATACAAAGATCGTAATATTTTATTATTAATATTCACTTAAATTTTCATATCTCGGATATCCCAAAATTATAAGAATAAATTATAAGTACAACTTAATTTCTCTGCATATAACTAATATATTCTGAAGAACCCGGTCTTTACTTAACCCCATTTTATTTGCCCTTCTTGCTTGCAGAAAATCGATCCCCTGACACGCATCCAGGAGGAGATCAAGGAGGTGGTGCGGCGCGAGGAGGAGTACCGCCAGCTGGCGACGCTCTCGTCTGGCACCCCCACCATCACTTCCCCCTCCTCGGGGCAGCTGGTGGACTTCGAGACATACACGGTCAATGGCAATGGCCTTGACTTTGAGACGAAACTGGAGCAGGACGAGGAGCTGCTGGCCGAGAATCAGAATCAGAACCAGATTCAGGATCAGGGAGTGCTGGTCACCGCCCAACCGGCGGCCGTGCAGACCACCTCGCTGCTGCTGCCCATCGACGAGCTGTCCAACACACCGTCGCTGGCCTCCAGCGTGAACAGCGCCAAGGAGGAGAGCCTCGATGGCCAGCACTCGGACGACTCGGGCATCTCGGCCTCCTCGCAGACAACGAAAACGACCTCGACCAATGTGGTTAAGCAGTCGCAGCAGCAGCAGCAGCAGCTCAAGCTGACCGTGGTGACGCGCCAGGAGCAGCGCTACATTGGGCCCAATTGCTATAACCTCACGCCCGAGCCGCCGCAACAGAAGCTGATCACCCGCACCATATCGACGCCCCAGCTGAGTGGTCTGCCCCAGAAGCGTCAGTTCGCCTTTGGGGGCGCCACCAAGGGAGTGATGCAGCGCTTTATAGCCTCGCACGGCAAGCTGGCGCCCACCAGCCCGCTGCCAAACGCCTCCTCCCCGTTGACCCTGAACTTGGCGGCCAATGGAAATGGTATTGGAAATGGTCTTACAAATGGCCAGAACAATAACCAGAGCAACAGCAACAACAACAACAACACCCTCAAGCTGAACACCCGCACTGCAATGGCCTTCTTGGAATCGGGCGGCTCAGCGGGCGGCATCACCTCGGTCACCCTCTCGCCGGCGGCCATCGAACGCGACTCGGAGGGAAGGCCCCTGCGACGCGGCTATGTGCCCGTCGAGCAGAAGATCCAGCGCGAGCTGCAGGACCTCAAGTCACGCGAATCGGAGCTGAAGCGACTGCGCAAGATCAACAGGCAGAACACCCTGAAGGCCTCCCTGGATAAGCTGTACGTGTAGGGGATAGGTTCTTATCTAAGAAACAGTAGAAACTTTTATGGAATATTTGTGGTTTTTGATTTTTATAGAGGCCATTCATTTGCAATTTTTATAGATTTAAATATTATATAAATACCATAAATTGTAAAATATAATTGAAGTACAGAACAGAATATTCCACGAGGTTCTTATAGAGAGTATAATTTTTAAAATCTCACATTTATAAAAATTGCTTTAAAGGAATTCAGAAATGTATATAAAATGGAGTTATTGGTTAGACTAAAGCATATTTTCAAGATGTAATTACATCTGAATTCAAATAGATTTAATTTATGATTTAAATTCGTTTAGAAGAGATTTCGATACCACCGCAGATTAATGCTGACTATTGTAGGACTTTAAAAACATTTCTTCATGTTGGACTTATATATTTATATTTTGTACACCCTGCAGGCAATTCAGCACAGACGACGAGGTCGATGCGGATGACGATGACGAGGACTCCGAGGTGGAGCACTGCTACGGACCCGGAAAACTGCGCAACGCCCAGTCCACACAGGAGCTGGACAGGAATGGGTGAGTGCAGAAAGGTTGAACACCAAAAAGCACAGATATTTTATATCCATTTCCATTGCAGAAACGAGCAGGAGATCCAGGTCCACAAGCCCTCCGGCAATCGCAGTCTGAACGCAGCCGCCTACATAGCCAACGGCCTCAGCAATGGGAATGGCAACGGAATGCGTCCGGCGATGTCGCTGGCCCAGCTCTGCGATCTGACGCCCGAGGAGGCACCCTCCTCGCGGGGACTCATCGCCCAGTGGGAGAGTCTGATCAAGAAGAACGCCGAGGTTGGGGCGGTCGAGGCGATCATTTAAGGATTGTGGGTCCGGAACCCCTTTAAAAATATTAACAAAAACAACACACACACACCAACGATCTGGTGCAGAGCAGACCAAATTATTATTGTAGTGTCCACACTTACACACTTGATCCTCCGTTTCTCCAACACCACGTCCACGTCCACGTCCACGTCCACGTCCTCGTCCTCGTCCTTCTCGTCCTCGCCCTTCTTCACCTCCTGCGAAAGCTGCTTATCAACGAATTAATCTTAACGCCAAGCAATGGCAATTGAAATTATAACTGAATTGAATTGCCTGTACTTAAAGCGATTTATGTGTAATTTATTATGTGTACGCGTACGTGAACTGTTCGAGAACTCTGTTGTATATATATAATTCTTCGCGTTTCCAGTGCGAGTTCAGTCGACTTGCTTATAATTTATTACAAATCAATTTTATATAAACCTTATATAAATATATATAAACAAAATACTATATGTACGAAACCAATATGCGAAAACGATTTAATAAAATAAAGAAAAAACAAAAAAAAACTTCAATAAAAATTATTTTTAGGATAATCCGTTTAAATATATATCCCAAAAAAACCTAAAAATATATTTGACGTTTGATTTTACAAAATATTGTCTTTTTTTTTTGAAAGCCTAAAAGTATGCCGCTGATTCGATATACTTCCATAGGACACAATCTTATAATTCCGAATGAAGCATTGTATTTTAGGTAAATAAAAACACATATATTTTTGGAAATTTTCATATTTATTTTTATTAAATACATTTCGTTTGTTTCTTTTGTTGTTACGGTTTCTGTTTGTTAATTTCTTGTTACGTATTCGCTCTGTACTAATTGAATTAATCAGATATTAGGGTGCCGTAGATAGAGAGCGCCTCTAGTTGGAGTACAAGGTTCGGTTAGAGTAAGCCGGTTGTTCGTCGTTCATCGTTCATCGTCCACAGACCTAAAAGTACTTTCCTTTTCTTTTTTATACACAACAAAACGGAAGCGATCGACACTCAGCGAATTTGCACTACGACCTCTTCGATTGCAAAGTGTAAACGGTGCCCGAGTGCTGCGATTATCTTGGAATTTTGGTTGATTTGTTGGTAGTTCGGTTTGGTTTGGTTGGTTGGTTTTTCTTTACTGCTACGGAAGCCTCAAAATACATTGCTATGTACGTCGTTTATGTATGTGGATTTGCGGTTTCTATGTGAAGTTGAAATCTTAGCTTAAAAGTTGTATTGCAAATAAAATCATATCGTCTTGTATACATCATATCATATCATGTGTCGTGTCGTATTTATATTCTGTATATTTACAAAAGCCGTTTACAAACTGGCGCAGCTCTTCGCTTAACTATGGACAAATCAGGCGATTAACTTATAGCTAAATTGGTCACAAATCATAGATACATAACCGATATAACCGAGATATAAACGTATATTCGCATATTGCACTGCATCGGATTGCTTGAGTATTAGAAATTAGGCAACAATCAACATATCGAAAATAATATAACGCGGTGATATTCACATACATATGACTAGAATAATACTTTGGCACACACATATATAAACATAACTCTGGGTGAGATACTCTGGGTCCTGGAAATCAGTTGTATTGCTCGGCGGTACGAAGGTGGAACAGAAAACTGCCAGAAACAATAATTAGTTAATTAGCATCCTGCCTGCCTCTCTGCCTGACATTTGCCTCTCTCTCTTGGAACTGGAACCAAAAAACCATTGACTGCTCTTTAATATCGTGTATATATATATATAGATTGTATATATAGAAATATAAATAGTAAGTATATATCATTTGTTAGCATTCATAATATATATATATATATTATATTTGCCCTTCGTTCGCTCGCCGTCGCCCGTCAATTAGAAACTAACACTTAAACCAACATTTCATATGCGTTGCTATATCCTTGCCTCCTCCTCTCCCCCCATCCATCCATCCATTCATTCCGATCGATCCTCCATCCTATCCTATTCTATCTGATTCGATCCGATTCGATTCGATCCTTTAACCAAAAGCGCTTTGAGCGTTCTACTTCGCGTACTCCTGACCTACAGCTAAGACAAAAAAAATGACATCGCTGCTTGCTAAAGTTAGTTCTCATTTTTATATAGATATACATATTTAAGAGTTTGTTTTTTTCTTTCTTTTTCATTGTTTTGGTAACATAAAATTAATCAACAAATTTTTAGAGTTGCTTGCTAAAACTTTTCTTAGTGTAAACGTGGTGCCCTAAGCGATGCCCACTAGCTGACAAATAATGGTTTTGGGTATCTGAATAATCGGACGATGCTAGTGGGCGAGTGTTTCTGTGAGTGTGCTACGGAAATTTGCATAAGTTTCGACCATACAATCGCTATGTGTGTGTGAGTGGGTGTGTTCTACCGTAAATCTTTATCCAAACGGAAGGGTTTCTCATATAGTTGCTCCTCATCTTCTGCTCGGTTCGGTGTAAACACATCTAAAAAACGCTGCTCCTGCACCTGTATCATCTGTACCATCTGGTTTCTGGTTTCCGGCTACATATATCCGTTTTCGGGTCGTGTACGTACTACGTTTTAGCAACTGTCTTCAAGTGCTCTTGCTATCCTTTATCCATATATATATTTGCTTGTATATATCGTCTTGCTTTTGTATATATGCCTTCTATATAAATATCGTTTGTTTGGTTTTTGGTTTTTTGTTTTGTTTTTTGTAATTTGCTGGTATTGTCTGAATGTGCTACGTACTTTAAACGCTAAACTAGTTCGTGTGTCGTGAGTGAGTGGGTGTATTCTTTTTTTCTTTGCTCGTTTGCTAGTAGACCGACATACAAAATTCGAGGCCACAAACAAAAACAAAAAAAAACATGAAAAAATTGCCATCTTCGGTTTACAAACTATCGCGTATATAACTAGTGCATACACATGTTCACATAGGTTCCTAAGTCCTCTACAGGCTATTAATATGTAATTCTGTTTGGTTTGGTTCCTCCTCCTGAATCCTCGAATTCCTCTAGAGCAGCTGGGCGATGACCGGCTCGATCAGACACATGTGCTCGGCACCGCGAACTGGCAGCCGGTTGAGGCAAAAGTGCCGGATCATCTCGGGAACCGTCTCGAAGGGACGGCTGAACTGGCCCAGGATATACTGGCCGGTCTCGTTGCGCTGGATTCGCATGTGCATGAAGCCCTTGGCGCCCCTGAAAAAGAAAATTAAATTATTGCTACAATTAAGGGGTAATCGTTAGTCGTTAACTCACTTGAGGGAAAGCGAGTAATCCTGCTTGGTCGACTCGCAGTTGCGCACCAGAAAGGATCCCTCGGACAGCGGACGCAGCGTGGTCTCCGCCTCGACTCGCGTAATGGCGCCATGGTACCAACTGAAAGATTGAATGGAAGAAGAATGTAATTAAAATACTTTCCAAATAAATAAATAACTAACCCTAATAACTAACTAACTAAAGTGTTATGAAAAAAGGTATGATAACGAGTCGAGATGTTGTGAGTAAAGCTCTTAGACATGAGTCCAAAACCAAGGTCATATAAAATATATCACATCAAAAGGGATTGCCATATACAGTTTGTTTAAAAATTTTGAAATTTTGATATTTGCCCATAAAGCAATTATAGTTAATAGGAAAATAGGAAACACGCAGAAGAAATGGGTTTTGATCCTATAAAGTATACTTCTATTACATTATATTATCTTAATTAGGATCACTAGTTCATTGACCAGTAGAAGGGGTTTTATTTTGAAGTTAGACAACAAAGTAGTGGGTAATAATCAAGACACTCAAATACACCGTGTCTTCCTGCTTTTTTTTATGGTTTTACAGATCATTCATCATTCTAACTGACTTTAACTCCACTGTTGCCTGACTAACAACTCACCCCTGCCGCTCCAGTGGAATGGTGACATCGATCAAGTCCACGGCGGTGACATATCCCTGGCTGAGGTTCATGTTCAGCTCCTTGTTGCTGTTGAGTCCCCGCAGATCCAGGCTGCCGAACTGCTTGCTCGCCTGCCGCGAATCGTTCAGGTTGAGGGTGAGGTTTTGCCGGAAGAGTGCCGTATCTAAGGACCAAACCGATCGTAAGTTATCCCCAATAGAAGATCACATGGCTTACTCACCCAACTTGCTGGCCAACTTCTGATCGTCGCGCATCGAGTGGCTGGAGGAGGCCTGCGAGATGCCGCTGGACTCGGTGCTGTGCATCAGCAGGTTGTTGATCTCCGCCTGGTTGGCCCGCAGGCGCCGCCGCAGCTTGGGCATGTCGAAGGGCAGCTCGCCGAGATCCACGGACGTGGCACTGCCCGAGGTGCAGGCGGCCTCCTGCTGCAGCGTCTTGCGGCGCCTCAGCTTGGGCATATCGAAGGGCAGATCCCGCAGATCCTGCGGCAGGCCAGCCGAGCCAGAGGCAGTGGCTCCAGAGCCTCCAGCCCCTGCCGAATTCCCAGCCCCCGAGGAGGAGGTGTTCGTGGTGGTGGTGGTGGTGGTGATGGTGTTTCCCTCGGCTCCGATTAGCTGCAGCTTGGGCAGCGTCAAACGCTGCAGGGCCAGGGCCTGCGGTTTGCCCTCCTCGCGCGAATGCAGCGATATCCCACTGTCCGAGCCCAAGAGCTCGTCGGCCAGCTGGAGGAGGGCCTTGTTGGGGGCACCACTGCCGCGATTGCTTCTCTGCTTCATGGAGGCGGAGGTGGGATTAGTCACCTGGACGGCGCTGCCTGGCGGGGCCGCACTGGAATCCTCCTCCTGCGCCGCCATGGGAGCCTGGGACGGCTGCTGTGACTGCTCCGAGGCACTCGCCGAGGCCGGTTCCTGCGAGGACTTGTCGGAAATGGGACTGAGGATGTGCAGCTTCGAGTGCAGCAGCAGGGGAGCCGGACGCAGGGGATAGGCCACGCTGGAGCCACCGCTGCCACCGCTACCACTTTCCGAGCTGTGCGAACTCAGCGAGCTGGAGTGACGCGACTCGGAGCTGGAGGTGCTGCGGTTGCCCTCGCTGGTGCTGGAACGCAGCGACTCCATGCTGCCGCCGCTGCTCGAGGTGGCGATGCTCTCGGTGCTGCTGTAGTTGTGACCTCCGCCGCCGGCCGTTTGTCCCTGGGCCTGGCGATTCCTGCTTCGACTTCCGGCGCCGCCGCCATGGTGATGATGATGATGGTGATGGTGCGACGACTGACCGCCGCCACCGCCGCCCGACTGCTGATGATGGTGATGATGACCACCCTGGGCACTGCGACGCAGCTCGAGCACTCGGCCCGATTCCAGGACAAAGGATCGGGGACGGCGTACAGCTGCCGCCGATCCTGTCGCCGAAACGGAGGCCGAAGCGGATCCGGAGGCCGCATTCGAGTTCGAGTTGGTCGAGGGCGGATTCACGTAGGCGCTGTCGGTGAGACTGTTGTCGTTGCTACTCCCGCCACCGCCGCCACCGCCACACTGATTCCGCATCGACTGGATGGGCAGGCGGAGATCCCGGAGACGCGGATGCGCTGGATTGGCGGCGGGCAGATTGGGCGCACTGCGGATGCTGTTCATGTTCAGGTAGCGCTCGTGCTTGCCGGGAAACTTCATCGGCAGCGGCGCCGTCGAGGGGGGCGACGGGGTGTAGCCGCGCACGGGCAGCTGCTGGGTGCTGGACGCACTTACTCCACTTCCGGCGGTGGCTCCAAGCTGCAGCTGCTGTCCCTGGCTTGGCGGCTGCTGCTGCTGCTGCTGCTGCTGATTCTGATTCTGCTGGTCCACCTGGCTGATCAGCTGCAGCTTGCCCAGCTCCGCCTGCACCTGGTGCACCTGGACATGGGCCTCGCCCGTCTGCTCCTGCAGAGCCTGGTTCTTCGAGTTCTTGGCCCGCTTGCACTCCGCCCGCGTCTTGGAGGAGCCGGTGGTTGCCTTGCCGATGTCACTAGTGCCGCTCCCATTGCCGTTGCTCAGCTGGAGCAGCACCGAGCAGTTGGTGATGCGATCCACCTCGTCCAGATCGTCATCCGACTTGGCTATCTTGCAGTCGAAAGCCGTCTCGTAGATCTGACGCCGCCGGCTGCCCATGATGTCCTCGGAGTCGTCCTCTTCGTCCTCGTCGCCGTCCACCTCGTCCTCGTCGTCGTCGTAGAGATCGAGCGATGGATTGCTCAGCGTCGACGGTTGATTGGCAGTCGCAGTCGCAATCGTTGGCTGGGCTGGCTGGGCGCACTCGGCGCACTCGTGGACGCCATGCGGATGCACATAGAAGATGCTGCGCGGCCGGAAGTACTCCTCCTCCAAATCATCGCCGGGCTCGCTGCCCCGTCCGCCGGCCAAGGAGGAGGAGGCAGGAGCGGATGTGATGCAGGCTCCGCACACGGCTGCTGGTCCCAGCAGGCGGTGCGGTGGCATCGGCTGGACCTGGGCCTGCGAGTAGAGACGATGGTATGATTAATTACAAATAACCTTAGTATTAAATGTAATATAATAATAATATAATATAATTATGACACCACTTTAAGACATATGGCGCCCAACGTGGGGCATCTAGTTGGTATAGCTCCTCTAACATTACTGTCGTACCGACTAAAAGTAGTTTATTTATCTGAACAATTGAAGATTATAAAATCAGGGACCGTAACTGTTATGAGTTTTATGTTAAACATCACATTTTAACAGTTATTTTTGGATTCGTAAAGTAAAACTCAAAGAATAACTGTTATTTTTTGAGTTTTATAATAAAAGTTGACAAATAACAGTTATTCGTCGTGATCAAAAATAAAACTCAAACTTGATTTATAGCGATTTTGTGGGTAAAAGAAATTTTAAAAAAATATATGCAAGGTTGGCTTTTTTTAAAGATTTTTAGTAAGTTATATAAAACACGGTTAGCATGTTTTTTTTAATTAATACATTTTTTTAAAAAATCTCAAGCGAATAACTGTTATACATAAAAATTAAATAAATAAAAATCTTACGGATTTGTAAATTACAATGGCTAACAAAAATAATGCTGTATTTAAAAAAAATTTAGGACTCTTCCAAGTGCATGATTTTTTTGGTAAGAAAAATTTAAAATAACAGTTATTTTCGGTCCCTGCATAAAATTAGGTAAATTAAAAAGCAATCATTCATAATTAACATATGAACTAATACCCTTATAAGACAAATGGCGCCCAACGTGCGGCTTCTAGCTTAAACCATATCTACATAAATTATAATAATTTTTTTTTGTTTCTTTTTCTATCTGTAGTGGACCTACCTGGATCTCCGCTGGAGCCGGGGGCGGTGGACAGCACTTGAGCAGCTCGCCCTCGCCGGCGTCGCAGTGCTGCAGCTGCAGCTGGAGCTCGCTGCCAGTGGGATTCTGTCCCTGACTCTGGCTCTGGATCTGATTCTGAATCTGAATCTGGTTCCTCGGCTGAACGTTGCAGGTCTTGCGGACTAGGGCCAAGGCTCGGGCGTGCCACTCGCGTCGCTTGAGGCACTCGCTGCAGTCGGACTCCTCGGAAGTACTGGTGCTGGGTGTCTCGCAGCGTATGATGTGGACACCCTCCTCCGTGAAGCTGTAGCGCTTGGGCGTGGACTGCGAGTCCTGTCCCGTCCGGGGATCCTCCTCCTCGTGGCTCTCTGCTTCCGGCTGCTCCTCCGCCGGCGGCACATCCAAGCTGGAGCTCTTGCGATAGCCACCCAATTGACTTTGGGTTGACTGCGGCGGTTCGCTGGCCGTCGACTGGCGACACTTGAGCTTGAAGTCCTCCCTGTCCTTGTCCCGTTCCCTGTCCTTATCCTTGTCCTTGTCCTTATCTTTGTCCTTGTCCTTGTCCCGACTCTTGAGCAGATCGGAGTAGTAGTAGGGCGAGGGCTGGCGCTTGTTGTGCTCCGCCGGAGCGACGGTCAGTTTGCGCGGACTGCGCTGTAGTTGCGGCGGAAGCGGACGCACCAGGTCATCGGATATGGAGTCCGGAGAGTTGAGACCCGCCGCCGCTAAGGGAGCAGCTTGGGCAGGAGCTTGGGGCACGGGCAGTGGCTGCTGCTCAACCTCCTCGTCGATGTCCGCCTCGTCGTCGGAGGATTTTGGCGCTGAGGAATCTGCAAGTGGTCACATGAAAGGTAAGGTTTCGATTTTAATCTAGATGTTTTTAATTTTATTTATCAAATTTAATTTATTATTTTCTTTTATAAAGTAAATAATAATCTGAAATCAATTTAAAACTCTCATCAATTTAATTATGAAGCAATTGTCACATAAATGCAGAAGATTAAGTTTAATTGAACTAATTAGTTCCTCTACTTTTCGACGATTGGTTAACTCTTCTAGTATAGTGCTGCCACCTAGTCTCAAAAAGGTAGTTCTTTATAATGTGTCCTTTTAAGTAAGGCGGGCAAGTAAAGCGGGCTTGCAAATGATATTTACATCAAGACTAGACTTTTATTTAATATAGGGTCTCTCCACTTATTTAGCTATTTGTAAATAAAAAACTTGTTAATAAAAGGACAGGTTAATTTTAGATGGAGTGCGGATTTTTCCTGGGCACTGAGACGGCGCTGACAGTTTCTAATTAAGTCGCAGCGACGACACTGCGGCGCCGCAGGCCACGCAATCGGAACGCAAATGGAGTTGACGCAGTCTATTTGGCGCTTGGCTGCCCGCTGCTCCTCCATCGTCTCCATCGCCTCCATCTCCATTCACCCACACTCCCACTGCAACCAAGGATTCTATCTTGCTGCACTTCTCCCCTTGGCTTTTTTCAGCAACCTCTTAATCAGAGCCTGCCAGTTTCCATTTTCCGCTTGGATAATCGAAGTAGCCGCAGCGGGAAAAGTTGTCCCGCCTTCGGCTTTTCCTAATTGCTAGTAGCCAGTTGCCAGTTGCCAGGATAGTAGAGATCTCTGGACCATGAACGCCTAATGAACTTTGGATGAATTTAATTCAATTATTGATTTAAACTGGTTTTTGCTTTGGTTGCGAAAAGTTCATAAAAGTTTCCACACATATTTGTTACTAAGGTTTTTTTGAGTATTTTTTTTATTTTTATATAAAAATACATTTAAATTATTTAAAGGCTTAACATTTTGACAGTCCGTATTAATTTGCCTAATTAAATTTGGTTACTAATGCGGTATTAATTTAAAAAGTGATGTCGCTACTGATTAGAATAGATTTAAATTGAATTTAATGTTTGTTTTTTTTAGGCTTTATCATTTTTGCACTTCTGACTATTAATTTTATTTCATTTAATTAGTTTATTGTTCAATTGATTTGCTAATTGCTGTTGAAAATTATAAATTTATCGATGACCTACCTGAATTATATTGGCTATTCCGTTTATCCTTTCTCAAGTTGCCGTTGTTGTTGTTGTAGGTGGAGTGTCGCTGTTGCAACTGTTGCTGCTGCTGTTGCTGGGCACTTCTGGGCGTTGGCAATGTCTGTTGCTGCTGCTGCAGCTGCAACTGTTGCTGCTGCTGATGGCGCTTGTGGCCAGGAGCCGTCCGTTTCTTGGCCTTTTTGTGGTAGACCTTCTTGTGATTACGCGTATCCTTGGGATCTGAATATCCTTCGATCAATTTCACCGATGCCTGTTTGATGTTGCTATTGGGCAACGGCGGATGTTGCAATGTTGCACGTTGTTGCTGCTGTTGCTGATGTTGCTGTTGTGCCCCAACTGGCAATGTATTGTTGTTGTTGTTGTGCGTATTCTGTTGGCTGTGTGTGTTGCCGCCGTTGTTGTTGTTGATGTTGCTGTTCAAATGCTGATGTTGCTGCTGCTGCTGCTGCTGCTGCTGCTGGTGGGTGGCCAAAATTGCAGCTGTTGCTGCTGCTGCTGCCGTTGCCGCCTGACTGGGCAATGTTGCCACGGGGGCGGGCAGCGGGGGCGGTAGTTGAGGTGCTGCTGCCGCTGCTGATGTTGTTGCTGCTGCTGCTGCCGCCGTTGGTAGCTGCAACGCTTGTTGGGCTTCGCCAAATGGCAGCTGGTGGTACATAAAAAAGAAAAGAATGCAGAGGGGCATTAGCATTTGTTGGCGGCTAATTTGATTTGCATTTAAATTTCCAATTTGTTTGGCATTTAATTGAAAAAAAAAGAATAAAAGAGGAATGTGCGTGGCCAACTCGTTTGTGTTGCGGTTATTGGGTTTCCCTGGCCAGCGAAGCCACGAACTACTGCCAAACCGCCAACCGAATGAAGGCTCCCCCCGAAAAGCAGGCAACATTTTTTTCAGCCACCTTTTCATTTCGGTTCGGTGGCGTATGCGTAACATATGTGGCTTTCTTTTTTAATTCGATTGGTTAATATGAAACTCACAACTTGTTTGTCCTAAAAACGATTTTACATTTTAAAATATATCCTTATTATTTACTGAATGTATACGAAGCCCCACAAATATGCTAGATTTCAAAATATAAATCAGAATTTAGATAAAATATTTACATTTAAAAAGATATATTACTGAACATAAAGCTTACAATAGAAGTCCTTCAAATACTATAAGCCAATAAGAAACCATATACTTGTTTTTGTAAATATTATCAAATCTATTTATTTTATAAATTAATTTGCAAACGATAGTCATAACAATTTCACTGAAATCAATCATATTCCCTTCGATTCGACTGAACTCGCTTCATTTGCCATTTGTCTGGAATACATTTCCCCCATGATGGATGGATTTCATTTCGCCCAAGCCATCGCCAGTTTGTTCACAACAATTCCATGTCAATCACAATATCCTTTCCTTCTAGTTTTCCCCTTCCCCTCATCCTTTAGGACGATGTAGTTTACTCCTCTCGATCCACTTCCGTTGAGTTTGACAAATAGCTGGACATTACGGAACTGCAACATCGGTGACATTAACAGGATCCTAATGTGTGCAAATTATGAGGCTCGAACCCTGCCTATAACCTGAATCCCTCTCACCAGATTCCCCTCCTGGCCATTATGTTAAACATAAATTTCCGCTTACACGGCCCATGTCCACTTCGAAAGTTGTCCTGTGGTCGGGCGTTGTTATCCCGATGCGTTGCTAACGGAAATTGATGTTTGGCCTGACAACTCTGCCGCAGGGTTGCCATTGTTTTGCACGGAGACTGCAGATGCACTTGTGGGGCGGGCCGCAGGAACATTTTTAATTGAAACTCATAAATTACAAGTGAAGTGGGAAAAAGGGGGGGCTGAATCGAGTGAGAAAAAACATTTTTAATGAATTTGAACTTGAAACCGAACCCCCCTTTTATTTCACCAAGCCCCCGGAACAAAAGGGCACAGATTGAGCATATGGAGCGGGGGGTTTCCAAGGCAGATTGATAATGGGGTTGTGGCCCTTACCATTCACCCACCCCACCGAGTGAAGCCATCCATTCACATATTCCTGTTTAAATATTTGCCTTTGATTATCCACAAACGATATAAGCAGACATATATATATATACACGTATAGTATGGCCTCATGCACGATTGCCCTTAGAAATCGAGGGGCAGGAATGGGGGGCGGGAATTTCTGGAATAATGAAAACTGTTGGAATCCACCATTCTTAGCCTTCACTTCCGACTCCACTTGTCTGCTTGTCTGCGCTTGTTGCCGCAGCAACGTGATTTTGATGCCAACTTTAATGAAAAAAGAAATCAACGTAAACGTAAACGGGGAATAAAAGCAGAATCTGATGTCCCGTCTACATATCTATCTAACTTCTTCGCCATTCCCATTGTTTAGCGACTAATGCTGATGCTCTTCGGTTGGACATCCCTAAAACATTAAGCCCACACAAGTATATGCACTGAAAAAATATTTATAAAAAAATTAAAAATCATTTTAGAAAACATTTGGACATTTAGAAAAACATTACAAAAAAAGGAAAAATATATACAAATTAAATCAAATAATAACTTATTTAATTCAAAAATTTAATTATAAAGCATGATACAAATTTAAAAAATAATATTTTTTCTGTGCAACCTGCGTTTTTTTTTTTACATGGCATCCTGATGCTCTTTATCATGCCATGGAATTCAATACCTCAAGCTCAGACAACGCGGCGTATGAGTGATATCTAAGCTGACGTCGCTGTCTGTTCGTTTCACTTCGCCGTTTTTATTTTGTTTGCGGTGGCGGAGTTGGAATAAAAATAAAATATATACTTACATATATAAACCATGGCAAAGTTATTGAAATAAACAAAAAGCAAGCACACATGGACACACAAACGTGTCCTGACGGCGGCCTTTGTGTTTGTGAGTTATCGTTGAATATTACTCCATGGAGAGTAATAGCAACAACTGCAAAAGCCAAACGAATTTCTCCCCTCTAGCTCATTTTTTTTTGTTTTTCAGAACCCACTTCAGAACCAGACGTTCCACATATATCGAAAAATGTCGCGTTCACTTCCATTAAAACGTGAGTTGCCAACGAAAAAAGCTGAAAAACAACAACAAAAAACAATGGCCAACACACAAACACACATGAATGGTGGCTACACTTTGATTTCTTCAACTGCTATATTTAATTTATATTTGTTTGTAAAAAAATATACACTTTGATTTCTTCAACTGCTATATTTAATTTATATTTGTTTGTAAAAAAATATTCTGAATTAAGAAGAATAAATATAAATAATAATAAGTTAATTAGTACATTGGTATATTATTCCTACTTCTTTAATTCATTTTGTCATAATGTATAAATAAGATTTCTGATAATAATATTTTTATCCTAAGCTTTATTTCTTAAAATTGTATATTTAATTTAAGAACTTAAGAAAAGCTAAAATAAGTTACTTAGAACTTTTGTAAATCATTTCTACTTTTTTAATAAATTATTTTCTCAATGGGCTTTAAAAACAGAAATATGAATAACATTTGCGATAGTGAAATTATTGTCCTAAGTGTAGCTTTACTTCCCCTCTCTGTTTATCTGCGATCTCCCTCTCTCTGTCCCTGTCTCTCCCATGTTTATGGCAAACAAAAGTCATAAGATAAAATTACATTAATAATTGTGAGGAGGCTCACACGCATGTGAAAGAGCATACACACACACATTAATATGCATCATGGAAAATTCGTAGGAAAAGAGGGAGAGGTATAGAAGGAGAGAAAGAGATGGCCGTAGGGGAAAAAAACGAGCATCGAAAGGCGCTAAACGTTATCGCTTTGGGCCATTTGCTGCCTGAACATTTTTTTTCCTGGCAGGAGGACGAACGGACAGCCAGGATTATGTAGCAAAAAAAAAGAAGGAAAATAAGGGAAAGTTGGGTAAAATTTTAGGGAAGATTTTTTGCAAAGCATTTATGACCATTTAATTAGCTGTAATCGTGTTATTCAACTTACTGAACATTAAAACTCCGATATTTAATGAGAAATGGTAATGTAGATGGAAAAAGTGTAAATAAAAGGTAACTGTAAGGTATTTAGGATTTTAATTTTCAAACATAGGGGTGTCACAGAAACCGGCGACGGATTTGGGGACGGTTCGTTTGGAAACCGACCCATCAACCGACCGTAGGTGTCACAGAATCTGTTGAGTTTTCTAGGAATTTTGGAGTAATTTAGTTCTGGTTTTAAGAACAATTTATTTAAGGTCTCCTATTCGGTTGGTTTAAAATCGTGTACTTGATTCTTATGGGGAAAATTTGATTGGAAGAGATTTCTGTGACAAAGTGTTTTTTCTGGAATTTTTTTTTCCAAAAATTAATTATTTTTTTGTTATAAAAGTAAATAAAACCATTCAATTGATATTATATGGGTTTTTAACTCCAGTTTTTAAATGAGTGCGTAAAAAATTATTTAATAATCAATAAATATTTTATTATTAGTTTTAAGTATTTTAAAATTTATTTTTGAATTCGTCCTTCCTACAAATTTAGGAGCTTGTTTCAGAAAATATGTGAGGGTGCGAAATAATATTTGAGTGAAGTCTTTTAAATTAATTGTCTTTCAAATAAATATTTAGCTAATTGATTGCTCACGCACTTATTATTCTTTGTTATTAATTTTGAGCAAACACTCTGCTGAAGCTTATGGCCCTCTGTTTGAATTGCGAGTGTTTCTGCCTTCTTAAAGATTGAATCCTTGGCACTGATTTAGCCTCTCCACCCCCGAAGTTGTATCAATCTGCAGAAGCGCGCTGAAGGTCGTTGCCGCAAATCTTATTTCTCGCATGGCCCCCCCCAACCATTTGGCATTTCGAGACTTTGGGGCTAAGCAAATTTCAATAAAATGAATTTCAAGTGGCAAGAATGCCAGCTCCTTGGCCCTGTTGTTTCGCTTTCCCTTCGCTGTGTTTTATGTGTGCGCCTCATGCGGCTTGGCTTTCCTTTTCATTTTTAGTGGCAATATGCAAAGGGAACAAAACACCAAATATTTCCGTATGGGCCATAAAAAAACGACGCACCCCCCTTGGGGGATTTTTTGTTTCCCCCGACGGGGGTTTTCGAGGGGTGGCAGGCTGGAGGATTTTTTTTGGTTTTTGGGGCATCATTTGATTTGTGGCACGGCGCATTTGCTGCTGCAGCCCGAGGTTATCTCTCGCTCCATCTCAGCGGCTTCCCTATTCATTTTTTCTTTCCTGTTATTGCCTCAGTGTTGGAAAGTTTAAGTGGAAAAAACAAGATAAAATATAGGGAGTTAACAAAATGGAGTTTATAACTTCCATGAAATAATATTTTTTATCCTTATACAAAACTAAATCTACAACTTCCGTTTTATTTTTTTTTTTTATATTAAAAGCAGAAATTATCTAGATATACTTGGCATAACAAAGGAAATGTTTTTTAACGTTCTTTAATAAGTTTTTCCTTTAAAACTCCTATCTAAGCCTTACAAATTTTTCACAGTAGTTCTTAAAAATGCAGCAAATTTATATTATCCACAATATGGGTTAGTGTGTCCGAAAATTTTAAATTTTTGTTTTGGGTGAAAATTATTTAAAAGCCCTAGTTGAACGTTTAAAAAATACTAAATAATTTATAAGTTTAATAAAGATACCTTAAATTTACTAAAAATCCGCTAGGTGGCGTAGTTTCGATTTACCACCTGTAAAACTGGCTAAAAATCAGCTAATTTATCCGCACAACTTGGCTATTTTCCTATCTGCGTCCATTTTTTATGGTCAGCCACCGCCCGCTGGGCAGCTTCGTTTGTTTGTCACTTTGCCCCCGACTTCCCCTTTTGTTTGTTTCGCTTATTTTTCGCCTTTTGCCTTGGCTTTCCTCTGTTTTTTGTTGTTTACTTATTTTTTTTTGCAATATTTAGCCAATAGTCCGTGCATTGTTTGAGCAGCGCTTTGTTTGTCCGCCTGCCGCCGCAGGATAAACCAATGGGGAGCCAAAAAAGGGGGGAAATATGAGGGAAATCAGGAAAATCATGACCAAGGAGGAGTAAGCTTTTCATTAACGCACTGCTGATGCGGCTGACGTTGATGCGACTTGTCCATCCAAAAACCCATCCCATCCCATTCCATCCCACCACTCGATTCGCCGGAGCGTGCAGTTTATCAATTAGCTGTCCAGAGCAGTTAATTGCCATTGCCCCAGCAACTAGACAACCATCGCAACCGTCCCAAACCACCCACCATCCCAACAACCCACTTAACGACCAAGGACTTACAAACTCGGTCTGCGGACTGGGGGCAATCCAGTGCTCGGGATTCGCTGGTATCGCCTCCGCCAGGCACGGATCGAAGCTGGACGGTCGTTTTTTAACAAAGTCTACGGGCAGGCTGTAATCATCACAGATGGCAATCTGGAATGGGAGGACACAAAAAGAGGGATAAGCACAATTAGTCCGAGTTGAAGGAAAGCTATAGCTAGATAGAGAAGAAAAGTGGGGGGGGACACACACACAATTAATGCTAAAAATAACATTCGCCAAGGTTGCTAAAAATATACATCTTGTATATGTAACAGAGTCATTTTAAACTGAGTAAATGTATCTTATATTATAATTGGCTTTAATTACATAATATAATAAGCATTGAGGAAACAAGGATTTGTTTGTGGGTGGGGGTGTGTCAGAAAATTTCGTGTTGCATACTTTTTGAATATCACATTTCGTGGCACTTTTCTCCCGAAACAGAACATGTTTTTGGTTGCATACTTTTTGAATATCACATTTCCTTTTACTTTTATCATCTAACTTCCACATCTTGGATCCGCACATGATAATAAGAACCTTAAGATCTATATAGAATTGAAAAGGTTTCTATAATATCTTTGAAATATAAAACATGTTTTAAAAAATGTAAAACCCGCTCTCAACACAAAAAAAGCCCTATATATATATATTTATATAGATAAATTTCTTGGCTATTTTAAAACCTTAAAACAAATTTTTAATGGTTTATGCTAGGGCACATATGAATACCCTTGAACTGAGTGTCTGAACTGAGCGGGTATAAAAAAAGCGAGGGAAAAACAATAACGAACGCCACGACACGTGCACCTCAAGTGTGTGAGGACCTTCCCCGCTTTTCCTTTCAACCCCACCCACTATACCTTTTGGGCAGGCCGAAAGCAGAAGGCAGACTTTCTTGCCATTTGGCTGAACGTCTGCGTCATCAAAAGTGTACAACAATGGCTAAATTACAGTTACAATTAAAAATGGCGACGATGCTTCTTTTGTTCGGACCTCCCCTTATCGCTGCCACCCCCAACCCACCCCCTTTTGCCACCCAGGTGCGGATCCGCGTCCAGATGATGCAAATGCACAAAGCTTTGTTGCCGTTGATAGCGTAGGAAAAGTCTTGAGTATTGCAATTAACGTTAAGTGGGTTGGAGCGAGCAGGCGGCGTGCTACATGGTCTTATATAGCGGATGCGGATTGTAAAGGGAAAAGCTGAAGAACAGCGAAGCTTAGCAGCTGATGGAAACGAATCGAGATGGATTAAAGCGGGCCACAAATTACCGGCTTAAGCCAAACTTATTTTGGTTATTTTACAGGACTCTCCTTGGGAATCCATTTAGTGCAGCAAAGTACAGTATGTGGCAAAAGGTAGGCAGGCAGGTTATTAAATATCCGTAAATATCCGTAGGCCAAGTATCATGGGAAAGTCTTAAACCGTTAAGGTTTTAACATGAGTCAAACTCTTTCGCAATTTATCTTAGTGTGGGTATGTTTATTTAAGCTTATTACATAAATAAGAGGAAACTCCCAAAAAAACAATTAACTCAAATGCTCGTTAGTTCACAATTGTAGGACATTAATTTTCTGAACTCTGTAACTCATTTTATAGTTTACTTTTAACTAGGGATAAACTTATTTTACTTCTTTTGCATCAATTCAAGTGTTAATAAGCCAAAACATCAAAAAGTACAGTTGCGTACAAAAACACTACATTTTTAAATGACTGACAAAAACTTTCCCTTTTTGAAATGTATCAAGAAAACTTATTCTGCCCACCATTTAATATTTTTCCGAAAAAAAACTAATCACTTTTGCAAGTACAGTTGCCACACCTACGTTTAAGCTAATTTCGTTAGGGCTATTAAGATTATCTTATTCCAGGGAGCTGAAACAGAAAAAACCAAGCCTTATTTAATTGCTTGGCTTGGGAAACACAAGGTCATCTTTAAACTCGGCAGGAAAACGCAGACACGGGCCACAAATTCAATCAGTGGGGAAAGTTTCCGGGCAGCCAAGCGCGAATTCGTTGTAAATCCCAGGTCTGTGGAGATCTGTGGGATGTCAGTCGTCGCTCTCACTTATTATAGCTACCTCGAAGTACACTTGCAGGCGATAAAGTTGACGACAAGTGCGGCAATACCATTCCAGTCCTCCTCCTTCGGTGGCCAGAAGTTGCGCCGCCACATCCTCGGCGACATCGACGCAATCGCGGTGGAAGCGACCTCCACAGGGACCCGCACACTCCACCGCCGCCTCGGCGACATTAAAATCAATCCAGCAGAGACGACAGAACATGTTGCCAATATTTTCAGCCACCAAGAACACTTAAGAAAATTACAAAATAGACTTTATCCCGAAAGCGAGCGTCTCAGGTGTTGACATGCGAACGCCGTGCAGCGAAATGAAATGAAATAAACTTAAAATCAACGAAGAACCAAAGTCCATGGGATGTGAAAGGGCAAACTGTGGCCAACTTTTGTGCCCAGATGTTGTCGTTGTGATGGCCCGGGGCCATGTGCAATTGAAAGGCCAATTCAGGAGGAGCAGAGACCCGTGCGGGCAATTGGCCGGTTAGTGCACCCAGCGTCTGACTCTCGAGGTGTTAACATCCTCTGACATGGGTCAGTTGGGCGGTGGAACATATATTACGGAAAGCATGTATGGGCCAAAGTTTAGGTAGTTTAGGGGGCAGTTTATATTTAATTTCTAAGGTACAAAAACTTCAAAATACTCTACCCTTATTGATGATGAAATAATAAAATTTAACTTTTTAACTCCTTTACAGCACTGGAAGTGAGTGCAACACTGTAAAGCATTATGCAATACTGTTCTTTTACTTTGTTGTAACTCTTTCTTTAATACGTTTACAATACCATTCCAACTTAAAATAACAAACGAAGATTTCCTATTTATGAATTATTGGTATATTTTATTAGTAAAATAATCACATTCAACTTTACAACACTGGAATATAAACACTGTCATGGAACTACAAGCATTTTGCAACACTGTGCTTTTTTATTTTTTATAACTACTTTTTAATACGTTTACAATATCACTCCAAGTTTAAATAAATAAATCAAATAAAAACACCTCTTAACGAGGTAAAAAACTAGTGACGATCGCACCTTCAACGTACAAAAGTTCTGATATCAACTTTTGTGACGAAAAATGATTTTAGATGCGACTAAATAAGTACGCTACCTAAAATTTACTCGTTCGGCCCGCTTTAGCAAATATTTAATATCTACACGAATGTTTTTCTGTTTTAGCGTGCCGAATGAATAAATTTTAGGTAGCGTACTTATTTAGTCGCATCTAAAATTATTTTTCGTCACAAAAGTTGATATCAGAACTTTTGTACGTTGAAGGTGCGATCGTCACTAGTTTTTTACCTCGTTAAGAGGTGTTTTTATTTGATATCAGAAGTTTTTGTTTGTTTACTTTTGCTCTCATAGGTGCTAATATAAACATTTAAATTTAAATTGGTCATAAATCATAATTTTTAAACTATTGTATTTTAACGAATTAAGTTAAAAAGGCGTTGAAGTATTTCAAAATACCTTTTAAACGAGGTATAGCACATGTCTGTACCTTTAGTAGTGTAGAACTTAAAAACTAACGAAATTTAGCCATTTTTAGCTATTTTCCCGCTAAAGTAGCGGCTTTTTCCAAAAGTCGTAGAACAAAAGATTCCTATATGGAACTCTTAAGTGCAAATTTACTGATTCCATGACCCTAAAATACAGTTCGGATACCCTCCCACAAAATTCAATACTCAGGGAGCGTTAATTGTTCGAGCTGGCAACAGTGGCTATTTTCGTATAAAAATAACTTTTAAACGTGACTTTTTACAGTAATGTGTTATATACCAAAATTTAAGGAATCTCAAGGGCTATACAGTTTAAGGTTTTAAAGAAAATCGTTAGAGCCGTTTTTGAGAAAAATAAAAAAATGCTAAAAAAAAAGTTTTAAAAAATTGTCTTTTGTTCATATTTTTTTAACTATTACATTTACACAAATTGCATATAGAAGACGTTTATAGCATTTAAAAATACCTTTCAAACGAGATGCAGCACAAGCCTGTAGCTTTAGTAGTATAGAAGTTACGGCTTTCCGAATTTTAGCTATTTATAGCTGTTTTCCCGCTAAACTAGCGGGTTTTTCCAAAAGTGGTAGAACAAAAGTTTTTATATCGATATGATGAACATCATATCAAATTTTCAGAACTTAAAAAACATATTTTGGACAAGTGGACAAGTGGACAAACTGACAAACAGAAATTAATTTTCATTTTGGGAAGAAGAAGAAAATCTTATTTTGGCTATAACTTTTGAACGGAGAGTCGGATTTTGACAAATGATCCCTCATTCGACGGGTATTTTCAAGAGGAATACAACTAAAACATTGCGAGGGGGCATTTATCCCCACCGGCCCCAACAGCTCCAAATTTCGAAATTTTCAATTTTTCACTTTCACCGCTCTCTCTTCCAAGCCAATTGATTTTCTTAAAGTCTTGGTATGCAATCCTTTAAGTTTTTGCAATACCTTTCGATTGGTGTATTACTCATTACGATCGGACTATCACTGCCGATTTTCAATTTAGGTAGCGTACTTATTTAGTCGCATCTAAAATCATTTTTCGTCACAAAAGTTGATATCAGAACTTTTGTACGTTGAAGGTGCGATCGTCACTAGTTTTTTACCTCGTTAAGAGGTGTTTTTATTTGATATAATAGTAGTCGCCTTCGCACACTCTCCTGGTGCGCTTCGTCACTACATGGACTGCCGTCCATAGTGATAAGGAGTACGTAAATCATGACTTTTCTCAAAAATCGTTGATCAACCCTGTCGGCGCAATAAAATCACTTTAATAATACTTTTTGAATACTTCTTCTTTCCCCCTTGAAGAGCCCTCACAGCAACCAAAGATGCGGTGTAAAATTGGCTGCCCCATCCGCCTTTTTGCAGTGAAAGTTGAGTGGCTCCTTCTTCTTTTTCTGCTCCTTCGAGGGAAATCAACTGGCAGAACAGACGACGATGACTCACTCATTGGCTTGGCCAACATCGTGATTGCCACTCTGGCTCACGATTCACGACTCACGGGTCTTTGAGCCGAA